ACACACACACACGTAGGCTTACAATTACATTCATAATATAAATGAGCAGAAATATAAACAATAATAATCGTAAGCTAGATACACACTCAGTTTTATTTTGATGCATGCTCTAAGGTCGTAAGTATACTTACAAGATGGAAGAAGAAAGATTAAAATTACAACATAAACACACAATTGGTCGCTTTTAAGCACAACGGGGCTGTCCAGAAAAAAATACTGCTTTGAGAAAATCGAAGGGAAAGGTTTCGACCAATTCTAAAGGACAACTGGAAAAAGAAAACGAGAAAGACCAACTGGAAGTTATAGCGGCACAATAAGAGATGAGGCAATCACTCGATTTGCCGAAATTGGAGTACGTGGCCAGGGATAGACAAGCGTGGCATCGACTGCTCTCCGCCTTATGTATCTGGCGGTTTATTGAGAGAGTAAGTAAGTAAGTTCTAAAGGTATTTTTTCGGGGATTAGGTTTTAAGAATTCCAGAGACAAGGTTGCCTTGTCTAACGTGGTACTGTAGACCAAATAGACATAAAAGTAGTAGAAAATCTAGACCAACTGGCAGTTATAGGAGTACGATCTGTCATGAGGTAATCACCCAGGGTCTGGATGTGTCATGGCTAGATAAAGTAGCCAAGGACGACATACATGTGTGACGTCGGCCGTTCTCTGCCTCTTGTACCTGACGGTACAGGGAGAGAGTAAGTAAGTAAAGTTTAGGCTTAAAGGAATATAAAGAAATACGATGGCAGACAGGCGAGCGAAAGAAGGGTCAATGTTCCCCAGAAAATGCCAGCTGCAAGGAAACGATAGATATTGCGCACACTGTCGCATCATACTGTGGCACTGTCACATCATACTGTGGCACTGGTGCTATTACGCCGACTCTGCATTGTTCTTCTCGTATCGTCTGGAGTGTGGTGGTTTCGGCTCTTCTCAACCATGTCTGGTGCGATGTTGTGAACCTCATTTCTAGGTTGTTAAGTTTAGGAATGTCTTTCTCTCATGCACCTTTGTATGTGAGTAGTAGAAGTTTACCCTTCGTCTCCCTGTCATCCTCTAGTTTTCCACAGAAAAATTATTTTGGTTATTGGTTATATGGCTCTTTTCGTCTATGCAGACGGTCACTTTAGCTTAAGATGGTTTCAAGGTTGTCTTCATGCAGCTTCTTTCTTGGCTAATTCTTCCTATGTTTGAAGAGCAGATTATTGGTTAATGTTTAGGTATAACACCCCGCTCAACAAGGGTTAACTATTTAAGAAGCGGGACCTCGGATTACTGGGACTGAGCAAGGCGGGCTTCAAGAGGGGCTCACTTAAAAACTCCCCCAAAGAAGCGCCATTTAGAACACCCCGTTGGTGGTTCGAATCACGGCCACCCGTTCCGTAGTCCAGCATGATACCAGCTGAGATTACGGCCCGCCCCGCCAATCTTTTGGAAGGAACAACGATATCCAAGGATAACTGAGGTCTAATATACAGTGGCATCCAAAAGAAACTTGAAAATGTAATCACCCAATCATCGTGTTATCGACCTATACAACTCACTCGCGCAGCACACCAATTTAAAGCTAAATAAATTCTGCATCATCTGACATTTTAAGACAGAACATTGCAAGAGAGCAGGAAATGAGGTGAAAGGACACAATTATTTTAGAGAAGAAACATTTTCTGTCTCTACCAGGATTCGAACCCGGGACCTTTGAATGAGAGGCCAACACCTTAACCTCCAGGCCACGAGAGCCACGCATGACGTTGATAAATCATCCCATATACAATTGTACTGTGCATAAGAACAGGTTAATATCTCCTCTTTGGGAAATGGCCTAAAGACACTTCTGTCAGTAGCATTGCTCTGGGGGTGGGGGTGGG